CTAATCAGGGGTAGTGAGTGGCAAACAGGGGTGCGGTTATGCCCAACGGGGGTACGTACTGTATTACACCAGGGATTCGAGCCGGATCGCCGACCAGCGAAGACGAGGCGGGGGTACGTTTATCCACGAAGTCTGCCCCATCCAACGCCATGATCGCTAATTTAATTAGTTCTCGGTCTCTGATTAGTCTAGAAGAAGGTGGGGTGTTCTTCCGTCCGCTGTAGAGGAAGTGCCTATACTTCCACCATGCTGTGGCAGCGGTTCACCTTGTTCACGTGCTCCTTCCTCTGTCATCCGCTCGAATTCATTTAACTCCCTGTGGTACTTCTCTTGTTTTTCCATGGTTTTAATTAAATTTCTTATCCGGGGCGCGGAGAGGGTACAGCACGGCAGGGCAATGGGGGAACTGCGAGTGTTTTGCTGGACTCAGAGAATCTCTGTGCGCCGGAAATAATTGCAAAAGTTTTAAATTCGTACAGAGGAAGTCTCGCCGATTATGCACTTTTCTGCGGTTGAAGGTTTTCTATCGAAATACATGTGTATTCTATGAGAAATTATGAGAAATGAGTATAATAATGTTATTAAAGATTCTAGAAAGTAAACTAATAATCGATATGTTATTTAAAATATCTATTTTTTGTAGGATTATAAAAATAAATATTTAATAACTAGAGAGTCTCCTTTGTCTCACATATGATAAAAGATTTTTCAGTCCGTTAAGTTCAAACATTCTCATAAATTTATATTTTAAAGTCACTTTGTGAAATTTTTCAGAAGAATATGCTCTTTAAAATGTACTTGTTATGCGTTTCCCTTCAATTTCTTCCGGTTCCTTCTATCAAAAATTCGTTTCTTTGATGAAGATGTAGTGGCCGATGCCAAATTTCGAATGCTCGCTTGGAGGCAAGTTTTCCTAGCGGGATGTCCTCGTTCCCACGGGTCCGCGTATTCTCGGAGAAGCACATTTGAATCTGCCTACCTCTTATCTTTCTCTCATCTCGCTCTCTTTCTATCTTTAAACGTACTACTTACATCGCGCAACCTTTGCGTAACCTTTGCGAGTATGCAAGGAAGAGGGGTGGCCTGTGTGTCGACGGGTGAATCGCGCTCGGTCTTTGATATGCTGACGTCGCTATTATCAATTCAGATGAGGCAGGTCGGTTCGGTCGTTTGGCAAAACTGCGTTTGATCTGGCTCACCCCGTAGATACGTAGGTATGGTAGATAGAGATAGGTGCACGCACATGGTCGTGTGAGTGGCATTTGGCCTTAGGCATTTTGCGTCATGAGAGAGAGAGAGAGAGAGAGAGAGAGAGAGAGAGTGTGTGAGAGAGAGAGAGAGAGTGTGTGAGAGAGAGAGAGTGAGAGAGAGAGTGAGAGAGAGAATAAATTTGACCAGCAACGAGAATGTGAAATTATCATGTCGCGCTGTTACTCGAACTTTTATTGTTATGCTTCCCCTCGATTCCAAAATCCAGCTTCCGTTGTGAAGATGCACGTATTGGAAGTTAAGACAGATAAACAAAACCAAATCCAAGAATCTTATAATAAATTAAGGCGAATTGGATAGTACGATGCTTTAAAGGGTTGGTTACACTTGATTGACTTGATCTGCTTAGAAAATAAAATTATCTCTCACATATCCTCACAGCCTGAATTATCATAATTTTAGTTGCGTAAGTAATTATCCGGTAAAAAAAAGAATGCGGGGATCTCCACCTAGGCCTCGCCAGCTTAATTGCTCTCATTAGCTCGCCTCTAATTATCCTCATTTATTTCCCTTAAGTTAAGAATTAGCTTTTCCGGGCGCCAAGCTTCCGTGAAGCGCCCTACGGCGCCGCGTCGTTCGTACATTTATAAAAATTAATTGTTTTGCCCGGTTTCCTAATTTCTGCGGCAACGGGGGGCCTGTCTTAAATTAATTTGTATGGACATATGTCTCATTGGCGGGTCTCATTGAATCATAAACCGACATATGCGGGTTTCGATCATGAATTTTTCGTCAACGAAACTTATCATGCGCTCACGCTGTGCATTATATTATCTTTATACGGAATATATTGTTACTTGATGTGTCCCCCGAGTCCAGTTTTTTTACAATTTAAATTAATCATAAAGAAAATAAAGTTTAAGGAAAAGGATCCAATTTTGACTTTATTTACTCAATTTCGTAAACTGTAAATTGCAAATATCTAAAAATTTATCAGATAATTTAAATTAAATTATCAGATAATTTTCCTAAAGATCATTATCTTCATTATCTTTATGTATTTGTAGTACTGAAAAATTTTACTTAGAAGAAATAGATACAGTAGTGAATAGAAGAGAGAGTCAATATTATATTTTTTTATGCTTCCTTTCAGTACGCCCTATGTCCTTCGCCGTTCTCCTCTCCATTTTAACCGACGAGTATAACGCAATAATCATTTAATTCCGGCGGTCGTACGCGCAGCGCTTGGCGCCAAGTCAATCTAAGCCAACCGGATATGCCTCTCTCGTCTGCCTTGTTCAGTCACTGACGTAATCCCGAAGTTTAGATTAGACGAAGGAGGGAAGATACGCGTCGTTCATTAAGATCATGTTTGATGTAAAAATTCGTCGATTCGCTTTGCATATACGAGACCATTTTTGAACACGATACGTTGCAACTGATTGCGTAAACCTACGAATTTATTTTGTTTTATCGTTTTACGATTCCGCGAATTTCAACATCATTAAAATGTATCGGATTAGTAGTCTATATCGGATTAACAGTCTATATCTCTGTTCTCTCTGTTATCAGACAGAAAGACTTAAATGTATAATTCGCCAAAATATACTTGTACATTGAAATAAATTAAGCAATTAATTTTATTGACCGACATTAATCAAAAATTAATTTATTAAGTGAGAATTGAATTGTAATCCAAGTATATAATAAGTTCCGTTACGTATGTTTTAAAGAATCGTTTTCGTCAATTACAGTCTTGTATTAATAATATAATATATACAAATAACATATTTTATAATTACATTTTTCCAGAATTGCCGTTACTCTTTAATTAAAATTACTAATAAATTTTTTTATCTCCAGAGCGTACGAGGCAATTTATTTATTACCCATTTAAATCGCCGTTAGAACTCCAGCTGTCTGAGCAATAAACTGAACTCTCATCTCGGTGTCACCCGCATTCACGAGTCGCGTCGCGTACTTAATATCTCAATCTGGACCGTTCTCTGCCTGCGTATCAAAACGCAACCATAGATCATCGGCGAGGGGAATGACGTTATGGGATATCGAAGTACCCTTTGGAACAGTTATCATCTACAACGTTAGACAGATTACCGTACCCCGTCTGTACTTTCGTCCTGTTTCTTTCCGTTTCTCTCCCCCTCTCTCTCTCTCTCTCTCTCTCTCATCCTTTTTCTCGCACTTTTCACCCAGCGCAAAACTGCTAATGAATATCGGCCCTAAATATCAGTCCACGGGGATCCAGCGAGGGTTCGTCGATGTTCGTCGGTGCATATGTCCGTATATTACGGGGGTTTACACACCCCGGTTCCCCTCGTGGTAACTTCGCACGAGGGCTCACCCCTCTCGCCCGTACATGTACATGGTCACGCTCGTTTGTCCTGTGTTAATTCGTCGTCTTTCTCTACCTTGCAGCTTTCGTATAGCTCGTTCAGTTCGTATCTCCCCTTCTCTTCCCGTATTCGTGCCCTCGTGATGAAAACTTACCGCGCGACACCGTATGTCCGCTCCCATCATCCCGGAGTCAAGACGGGAGCACGACATCCCCTCGTATGAAAATCTAATCGCGAATCCGGCGGAAATTCCCGGCTCTTGCTGCAAATCCTTCCGGGAGTTGAGAGACGTCGACGGTTCACGAAAATTACACGCGCAAAGCTACTTGCAAGCACGAAAGAAACAACCGTGAACGTTCGGTACGTCAGGCAAGAGTTTTTTATTTTTTATAAGATATGCAACAGTTTAATTAAATTTTTATTGCAATATATAATCTTTGTTATATATAGATGAATTCTTTATTATATGGATAGTTATTTTGAGTTTCAAGTATTTGACGAATGACGTGTTTTGAAAATAATTTTGTACATTCTGCTATGATCTTTTAGAATATTGAAGAGTGTGACGAAAGAAAATATCTGACCAAAAACTGTAATCCGGATTAACGATAACATTTCAATTGTTTATACGATACAGTGACCTAATGAGCCGATAATCACAACGGGGGTAGCAGAGGGAATGATATTCGGATGCATGATTTGACGAAAGCTTTGTTTCTGTCGCGAACACGCAAAAGCAACTGTTTTTGTACGGTGAATTCAACCGCAGTCTTGCTATGATCAATGACACACGAAGGTTTAATCGATCTGCCATGCCATTGTTGGCCGGAATTTCTCACGCGAGGATCCATCGATCTTCGCGGATTTAAATCGCGTACACAAATGAGGACCGCGTGGTCGATTAGATAAATGACGGCGATTCAGAGAAGGCTTTATACATATACGTCGACACATTAATACATTGTTGTTGTTGTTGTTTATTGTCATTTCGAAATCCATCGCATCACGATGATTTTCGAAATTATTTTACAGCGACACATATACCGAATTTTTGCACATGTAAACATAAAAAAAGATTAAAAATTAAAATATTTATTAAATTTTTTCAAATATTTTTATATTGATTTTTTGCAAATATCTTACTATATATATTATACTCTATTATATACATAGTATTATATATATTATATATATAGTATTGTATATATATACGTTGTAATATGTACATAACACATATTGTATATAGTATAGTATATTATACGAGGGCAAATCAATAAGTACCCGTGTTTGAAGACAAGTGACGTTGTTGATGCAAGTTAGCATTACCATTGTGTACTACCATCTTTCAAATGATGCCATACAAAATTTCAGAGTGATTCATGCAATAGTTTTGATTTGACAGCAATTCGTAGTGAGAGTTTGATGTTTTCCGATACAATGAAAAAAGAACAATATCGATCCGTAATTCGCTTTTTATTTTTGGGTGGAAAAACGTGCGAAGAAATAAAAACGAAGTTGAATGCCGTTTATGGGAATCCTTCACCATCTATGACAATCGTCAGATATTGGTTCAACGAATTCAAACGTGGTCATTCGTCTGTTTTTGATGATGAGCGCCCAGGCCGTCCGGTAGACGTGATTACTGAGGAAATCATTGAAAAAGTCCACGACATGATTCTCGCTGATCGCCGAACGAAAGTGCGTGAAGTAACAAAGGCCATAGGCGTGTCGTATGGAATGGCATTCAATATTTTGCATGATAATTTAGGAATGAAAAAGCTGTCGGCCCGATGGGTGTCGCGATTGCTCACGGTGGACAACAAGCGAATGCGGCTATCAATTTTAAAGCAATGTTTGGAGCTGTTCAAGTGCTGTTCAATTCGAAGGAGTTTTTGCGTCGAGTAGTAACCGTTGATGAAACATGGATTCATTACTACACACCGGAGACCAAGGTACAGTCAAAACAGTGGATTTCATCTGGCGAACATGCTCCGAAGAAGGCCAAGATGGTCCCATCGGCCGGAAAAGTGATGGCCACTGTTTTTTGGAATGCGCAAGACGTAATCTTCATCGACTACATGGGGAAAAGCAAAACTATCACGGGGCAGTACTATGCTGACTTATTGGGCCGATTCGATGTTGAATTGAAGAAAAAACGCCCCCATTTGGCGAAAAAAAAAGTGTCGTTCCATCAGGACAATGCACCGTCTCACTCCTCCGCAGTCACCACAGCCAAATTGGTCGAATTGCGGTACGAATTGCTGCCGCATCCACCGTACTCTCCGGATTTGACCCCCTGCGATTTCTTCTTGTTTCCAAACTTGAAAAAATGGCTCGGTGGAAAAAGATTCACGTCGAATGAGGAGGTCATTGCCGAACAGAGGCCTATTTTGCAGAGTTCGACAAATCGTATTTTTCGGAGAGGTTAAAAAAATGGCAGAAACGTTGGGAAAAGTGTATCCTCCTAAAAGGGGTTTAAGTTGAAAAATAAAAAAAAGTTTTGTGAAAATCTTGCGTCTTCATTACTAACACGGGTACTTATTGATTTGCCTTCGTATAGTTACGGTGACCGTATTTTCTTAAAGAAAATAAAGGACCAATCTGAAAATTTTAGGACTTTATCCCTACATATTTTTAAACCAGTTCGTGATTGTCAAAAATTTGTGCATTATAACATTTTATTATACAGTATAATTAATAGAGATTTAAATAGAGACAGTTTTCTGATAGTTTGAAACTGGTTCGACTGCATTGGAACAAACTTTTGATCTGAAATAATAAAAG